AGATAGATAGATAGATAGATAGATAGATAGATAGATAGATAGATAGACAGACAGACAGACAGACAGACAGACAGACAGACAGACAGACAGACAGACAGACAGACAGACAGACAGACAGATAATGGATGGATGAACAAAAATACCAAATCCAATTTGAACATCTGGCTAGCTGTGCGATGTACTATAATATATTTTTAAAAATATTTACATAAGTAAAAGCAAATATGAAGAAAAAAAATGAAGAAAAAAGACAAAGAAAGAAAGAAAAATAAGAAAAATAAGTGCAAAAGCAGAATAAGAAAAAAGTAGTTCAAGAAACAAGAAAAAATATGCTACTTCTGACCTTCTTTTCAAGTTATATACTCATTATTCCTTCTGCCTCTCGATATTACAAAAATCTCTTCAGTCAACTCTGATATCTTTACCATCAATTCCTCCACTGTAAGAATTTCAGTGTTCCTTCAAAGAAGCTCACTTTCATTAAATGAAACATAAAAACAAAAATCCTAAGATTCACCATTTGGAGTGCAGTGCCGAGTAATGGCTCATAAGGGCAAGGACTTACTACAAATTCAGAATCAGGATGCTTCTGAGAATTTTAGATTGGTACCACAATCGAGCTCATTAGTCCTTTTACACAATTTTTTTGCTTTCCCTAAGCAATCTAATTTAGGATGGAAAAATATGTTAATTTTGCAAAGTACATTACAATAAACTTAAGGAGATGATATGCTACCTTTATCATCAAGGCAGTTGTTAATCACATCTGTGACCAATTATGGACCCAAGTGGAGAGGAAAGAACATAAGGAGTGCCTTGATGGATCAGGCCACTGAACCCAGGATCCTATGTCACCTAAATAGTGGGCACACATCAGAAGTGTCCAATATTTTTTATCAATAGGACTGAGGGAAATCATATGATATTTAGCACACCATCAAGCAACAGGAGAAAATATCATAGGAAAGAGGAACAGGCTGGAGCTCTTGCAGTTGAAGGAAAATTTACCAGGCAAATCTCACAACTTCCTCCTTACAAGGAGGTTTGGAATACTGTTTGTTTTCATATTTTTAATACTATTGTATAGATTGGTTTCAAATTTACTTCCTGATTGGTAAAAGGAGGCCTCCCCTTCCCATTCTCACCTTTATTTTTGCTATTGAAAATTGGCCGTTTTGCAGACTTTTGAGGGAGATGTGGTAAGCTGAAGGCATCTTCATGAAAACAGAACCAAAGAGCACAGTAAAGACCAAGGAACCGGTAAATAGACTGACTCCTTGGAACCTCTCCAGATAAGGATGAGAGATCACCCACTTGTGCTCCAGATGGCTGCTTCTCATGAGGAGACTGCAAGATAGCAGTTTCCCACAGGTTTGAGTACACGGATTAGGGTCCAGGTAAATTTGGAAAATTGTCCTTTACTATAAGGTTCTGAAATTTACTATAAAAATAAATAGTCTCTCGTGGGAATTAGACTTATTTTAGCTATTTTGGTTATGGTTAAGTCACAACAAAAAGAAATTACTTTATGATTTTAGAAACTGGACACTGGAGGAGACTAAAGATTCTAAGCGGAAGGGGGGAAAAGTATAAGCTTATGATGTCAGTTAAAACTGGGACTTACAGAATGAGAGAAAACATTATAGTATCAGAAACATTAAAGAAGATCTTTGAAGAATGAAGCCAGAAACTTCTATTAGTTTTTCAGTTTAAATTTATTAGGGGAAGAATGTAACTTTCTCCATTGAGCAGGAACATTGATGACACAATCTTGACGAGAGAATTGCAGAGGTCAGCAACAGGCAAATGATTAAAAGGTCTCTGGGTCCCAACATGTATGAATGCAGATTGATTGCTAGTGCCAGCTACTTACCTCCCTTCAACCAGCCATAGCCTTAAATCTGCAAACCATGTTATCCGCTATATCAGGGGTATCAAACCCGCGGCATCACAGCAGCATCATGTGATGTCTCGGGGCTTTTTTCCCCTTTGCTAAACCAGGTGAGGGCAGGGCCAGAAGGTGATAGTTTGACACCCCTGCACTATATGCTTCCAGGAATCATGCCTGATTATTCATCGCTCAGGCTGAAGCAGAAACATGAATCTATTCCTGGTTCTGTTCAACACTGACCAAGGATTTCCACTTTCAAACTCTCTGATATTTTAAATCACAGCTAGATAATCTCATTTTTGCAATCCTGAGAATCTGAATTTAACTGCAGAATTCTGGTAGCACAGTTGCAAAGTAGCACAGCTTCTTGTCATTTCAGGAAATAGTGGTCAAAATAGGACAAATACACTTGAAATTGCAAACTATTACTCCCAATCCTAATCTGTTATTCCCCCACATGCATAAGATAGCCATACTTGTTTTGCATCACCACTCCATCTTGACTTGACTTCAGTCATGAAGATTACCCATGTTTCAGAGGAAACAGCATTTCCTGCTCATCTAAGACTATCAATGTTTCATTTTCAAGCATCACTACAAAATTACAGCTATTTTTATTAATATGAAGCAAGGATTCTTAGCCTGAGGTCTATAGACTCTTGGGGAATCCATGAATAAATTTCATGGAGTCCATGAACTGGGATGGGGAAAAAAATCCCTTCATTTTCATAACCTATAATTGAAATTTAGCTTTCCATTCGACAATGAATATATGCAACAAAATAATATGTGGCCTCTAGATTTCAAAACTGTTTATTAACTTCAACTTCAAGGTCATTATCCAAAACCAATATGCCCTTAAAAAGCACACTCAATATATGTGGTTGAGTGAAGTATTATCAAAGGAGGCTGTAGTATCTGGTGTAAAATACGTTGAACTTGAAGCCAATAAGTGGCAATAGTCCTAACAGGTAGATATAGCAATGGAAACATTTTGTTTATTTTATATTTCCTTTCTTACTTGCAACTTTAAAGGCCCTAGGACATGCCAAAAGGGGGTGGGGGGGGAGGCCAGTAAGAGTAGAAACAATTTGCAGCTAACTAAAATTTTGACGGTGGCACACAGGAGTAGTTTTCCCTGTTAAATGTTTCAAAATTGAGATCTCCATTGATTGATAATCATTTTCATCAATCAAAACAACTTTTACGTCTAGTATCACCTTAGGAAGTGCACAAATGGCATTCCAAACAAATGGCAACTATTCTTCCATCCATGACCTAATATCCATCATGTTTGTGTTCATTTTATGCAAATTTAGTTAACAGCATGAGATCAGTTAAAATATAGCAATTCCATTCATGTATCCTGCTCTTTATATGCTTCCATTAGGATTCATATTGTTTCAGACAGAGATACAGAATAGGCACTAGGGTGTATATTTTATCATATTACCAGTGCCAATCATTCTTTGACCCCGCTGGCTGAGAGGGATGAAACCTATAATCCAACACATCTGATGGGCAGCACATAAGGAAATTAGCACAGTAGCTTCTTCTGGGCAATGTGGTTGAATTGAAAGCCATCCCAACATTACTGACTTGAATGCTAGACTTGGTCCCTTGACCCATGCTTTAGAGGGGTTGCCTATCCCTGAATTCATCCTTTAATTTGGAAAGTATTCAAAGCTTTCAGCAATTACTATTCACCATTCCTTCTTTCATGGAAAATCTAACAGAGTGAAGGATTGACACACCTTCTAAAGCAGGGATCCCCAACCTTTTCGACGCCGCGGCCCGGTTCCGGCGTCAGCTGGGCGCCATCTTTTTTTGACGAAAAATCACTTCCGGTGACGTCACCGGAAGTGATTTTTCGTCAAAAAAAATGGCGGCGCCCAGCAACCAGCGGCCCGGTAAGGCTTGTTCCGCGGCCCGGTACCGGTCCGCGGACCGGCGGTTGGGGACCCCTGTTCTAAAGAAAGGACACCCTCTCTCAGATGTTCACCCAAGTTGGATAAACATTTCCATCTTATTAGTATGCCAATAAGAAGATAGAAGCAGGAGCAATACTGAACAGACAAATGCATAAGTGACACATGGGTTCTGCTACTGAGGGAGACTCTTGGCTGATAACCTTTAGTTTCAGTTAACCTAAAGGTTTAAACCTAAATTATTAAACTCACTTCAACAGTTATCTGATTCCCTTGGTGAATCATGGAAAGTGGACATCGGGGCTCCAAATTTCACTATCATAATCATAAAGTTAATAGATTGTGCCTCCCTGTCCACGACAGATAAATTGGATTAAATCTCGCAACACAATGAAAGACTGAGGGATGACCTAGTCTGGAATTGTGGATAAATTGTCAATCCTATCTGAAGAATACCAGATGGGAAAATACTTTATGATGAAACAGACGGCAAGTTAAAAACAAACAAAAACAAATGAATAATGGTGGACAGTGAAGTAAGCAATTAATTTAGGAATAAAATTAATGTAACTGGTTTTACATGAGAAAACATGTTGTGGTTTCTGGGAAAAGATATATATTGGAAGCCAGCCCCCTCCTCCCTTTAGCATTGGCTCCAGTTCTGCTTTCTCCTGTTCCATCCTTTGAATTCTTCCCTCTCATTTACCTTACGGAGGAGTTGGTCTGTTTCCGGCAAGGGACTGTATTGCGGACACATACTCCAGTGGAAGGATCTGTGTTCTCCACAATCACAAATGGTCTTTCTTCAAGGGTAGCCACTGTGAGGTGGCGATTATCTGACATGGGCTGCAGGAAGGATCCATAGCGTGGCCACACTGGATATTCCATGCGGATAATTCCCTTTTCCCATTTCCCCACCTGTGCAGTAGGAAAGGAGTGGGGGATGCTGTTGGAACCATGCAAATAAGAGTGCTTTTGGACTTTTATATACCATTGTCAATAGGATACATAAACAAGGCTCCTTGAGAATTGTTATCGTCAACAACATCAGAGGAGGAGGAGACCATATGGAAGAAGAGCCCACTCTCTTACTCTTACTTTGTAGCTTAAAGCAAACCAGTAGCGTGAAGTGATCCTTACAAGATTAGAATATATATATATACCAGGACAGATTCTAGACCTCTGGGACTAGATACCGTTGAAAGTCTTTCCTCTACTCAGAAAAATATCTATAACCTTTGGGTAATCATAATCTAGAACAATTTGACAAACAGTTTGACAGTAATCACTGAATAATGAGTGATCTGAGACTATTCACGTTCCATCTGTTTTATATTGGATACAGCAGTTAGACATTTTATTTCTGTTATCCTCATGGATGGTGATCATTTTTGCAATCATGCTGCAAACAGCATTAAGCCACAACACTTCGCAAATAGATATTACTATATTAGCTTTAAACTGTGCTGGATTTTTAAATGACCCCGTGGAAATAGTCTAGGTAATTATGTTTATTTACAAAGATTGGAAATGAACAGGATATAACTCCTAGCAGAAAAAAAATGGATTTAAAATGGAGTAATGGGTACAGAATTTTCGTTGCTGTTGTCCTGGGAATATTTGATCAACTCCAATAAGTAATTATAAAATGGACAACCTTGCCTTTAAGCCTGTTCTCATTATTCTTCTTACTTAGACACTGCAGCCAACCATGGACTAATGCACCACCCCAGAAAACTTGAGGGCTTTTCCTTACTGAAGAAACAATTGTTCAAAAAAAAAAAAAATACCATAGCATAGGTTAAAATAAAGAGCTGTGGTGGAGTAGTGGTTATAATGCAGTACTGCAAATTACTTCTGCTGATTTTTAGCTGCCAGCAGTTCAATTCTCATCAAGCTCAAGGTTGACTCAGCCTTCCATCCTTTCAAGGTCAGTAAAATGGGGTCCTAGATCATTGGGGGCAATAACCGCTTATATTGGCCTCTAAAGCACTGTGAAGTGGTATATAAGTCTAAGTGCTATTACTATTGCTATAATCACTCTACTTATGCATGGAAAGCAAGGGGGAAAATCTATTTATCAATATGCTAAGATAGTCATCCCCTTCCTGTGGCCCTTTTGTGTGAGAATAGGGGAAGGAGGGAAGGAAGGAAGGAAGGAAGGAAGGAAGGAAGGAAGGAAGGAAGGAAGGAAGGAAGGAAGGAAGGAAGGAAGGAAGGAAAGAAGGAAGGACTAAGGCTTTGTATGACTAGATTGAAGTCGTAAAAACGTAAGGGAGACTATAATATGGCCTTGTTGGATTTTGTGAAATAGCAATAGCACTTAGACTTATATGCCGCTTTATAGTGCTTTACAGCCTCTCTAAGAGGTTTACAGAGTCAGCATATTGCCCCCAACAATTTAGGTCCTCATTTTACCCACCTCAGAAGGATGGAAAGCTGAGTCAACTTTGAGCCTGGTGGGATTCGAACTGCCAAATTGCAGGAAGCCGGCAGTCAGCAGAAGTAGCCTGCAGTACTGGACTATTTCCACTATGGAAATACCAGGAATGAAGCTAGGATGTTTTCAAGCTTTTAAAATATTCTTTAAAATCTTGCTAGTTTACAAATTATGTTTTTATTAGATTGTATTTAAATATGTAGGTGTATGTATATTTTATGGAATAACTGAGTGCATGCATTTTATGTATACACTTATGTACATATAACAAAAATGTCAATTAAAAAAAACTGGTTGTGTTACCATAGCCCAAGAAAACAAGAAGCACTTAGGAACATTTTGTTTGTGATTCCCAGAGGCTCACCAGTCTTAGCTTAAGTATAGAATGAGTATTATGCCCCCTGTTCTATCTTGGTTTTTTAAAATATACTGCAAAAAGAAAAAAAGAAAACTGTACATTTAACATATTACTAAAATGTTGTAAAAATCAAAAGGCTTTTATTTAATAGCTACACAACATTACAGTAAATGTAGGTTTTTCCCCTCTTGGAGAAAACAGCCTAATGGAAATAGGGCTTTTTTCCCTTAGTAAATATACATTCTGCATACAACAGCAAGGACCTTTGAAGCACAGCCCTCAAAACATGTTGCTCTTCCAGATATACCTCCCCAAAAGCTTGAAATTCATTAAAAGTTTCTTTTTTTAAAAAAAAAGTTTAAATTAAACCTTACAATTTCCATTGTTTCAAACCAAATTCTATTATTTATAAAGGTTCTGAAATTTACAAATTTCAAATTTGGGACCTCTAAACAGTTCCTTTAAAATTTGGTTTTACTCTTATTCTCAGTGGAACTCAATAGAATATTATGATATAAGGAAGAACGTTAATATAAAGTGGAGAATTGGGGTGGGGGAATTTTTGTTTATGATCTGGCATGTCTCCTAAGCAGATCCATGGAGTATTGGAAGCAGCTAAAAGAACAGTTTACCCTAAAGTTGCAAATGCAGATAAATTTTAAATGTTTGAGTAGAATTGTATTCTTTATTCCTAACAGAATTAATGAAAGCTCAGTAGTAAATTACTATGACATATGGAAAACACTTGAACAGAGAAAGTCATATCATAAAGGAAAAGTGATAATGGAAAGCAATTATACAAATAGCTCATTTAATTAACACCAGTATCTTTCTACTAATAGTGTTCACCTTTCAGATTATTTTTGTAATTATCCAGAGATAACATAAAACCCAATCAAATATACATAGATAATCTACAAAGAGGGAAAATTGGAGAAATACTTAGATACCACAAGCAATTTGTTTTCCTTTGTGATTTTTTTGCCAGTTGCAATATAGAAAATTACATTGCAGATGCTTAGATGTCCATTTGTGCATATGGAGAGCAGGAGAGCAACCTCATCAATATTCTCTCATTAAAAGAAATACAAAATTGCAGGAATAGATTCTAGCAAAATTGATGGTGCAGTCTAAATGCCCAGCTAGCTAGAATCATTCTAATATACCTCCAGTTTTCTGGAACATTCTAGGAAAATGGGGTGAGAGCTTCAGAGCGAACAGATTCCTCAAAATTAAAAACCTAGTCAGAATGAAATGTCCTTGGAATGGCAGAAATAGCAACAAAATATTTAATATCAGCTCAGGACATATTTGAAACTGAGCAAAAAACAAAGCATCACATTATTTTATATAAAAATATTCCCCTTTTTTGCTTAAGGTTGCCTTGTTTGAAAATGTGATCATTTGGGCTGATTTGTGAGGAAGAAAATAAATGAACAGTTGCATGTTACTCCTACAACATAAAATGCAGTCTTTCTCACACAAAAGGTTATTCATAAAGTAAACACAAGTAAAAATTCTTTGCCGCTTGAGATAGAACTTAATTCAATTACTGTTGTCCCTTCAGGATAAATGAATACCAATGACCTATGGTGGCTTCCTCACTTAGCTTAATGGTACGACCAACCCTGTGAAGCACAGGCTGCATCAAACATGGGCATGATATGTGATATAACAATGTAAATTAACATGCAGAGCTTTGAAGCCAAATATCTAAATAAATTTCTCTCATTGAATCCTTTTTCTTCTAAAAAGCACTAATCATATGCTCCCCAGTAAAAGGAAAACTTGGAAAGCATTGGTCTCTTATCTTTTGGATTGACACTGATATTTAATGATGTTGTGGTTGACTCTTAATTTTTTTTGGGGAAGACAGTAATTTATTGGCAAGCTTTCTAATATGCCAACATGTTCTTTAAAACCTCCTTTAAACCCCCTTTAATCTCTGGTAAGCAGAGATAAGCCATAAGCAGTTTAAGCCAATCTTTTGCACAACATTTGTTGAGTTTTATTCTTTAATTCAATTTTTAATGACTGGAAAGAAGCAACAAAGTCATCTTGCACAACAAGCATTCATCCAACTGAGTTATGTGCCTTATGGCATGTGATGCAGCAAGCCTCCACTGCAAATTAAATAAATTAGTTGTGAACATACAAAATAAATGAATCTAAATATTCATTTCATGGTGCTTCAATTTGTTTATCAAATGAAATTATTTATATTAATGACAGGGTAAAAGAAACCCTGCACTGCGCAAGTAAGAAGGACAATAAGAGGTGACTTTTGAGGACAGTCAATTGACAATTTTTGTTCAGAATCCTCAGACCTGCCAGCCTGCTGTTGCAAAAGCCAGAAAGAAAATGGGCTGTTTTAATGAATTCCAGAGAGGTGCCTATGCCCAACCTAGGTATAAAATCAGTTTTTACGAATCATGTGTCAGATGTGCATAGCCCTAATGTTCATAACAGAGATAAGGTTTTAAATACAGTCTAAGAGTTTTTGAGTCAGTCTTTCCCATTTTGCATTTTCAAAAATGTTGGTTTTGTAATTGTCTTGCTCAGTTGTGGGCTTCAAATTTTTTTCGCAAGGGGCTCTCTGCCCTAATGACTGACTGGCTGGCTGGGTGTGGCCAACTCGATATTGCTTCTTTGCCCTAATTACCTAAAAAAAAGATAATATACCAAAAAGTTGTTTATTATTTCGTGCATTTAATACTTAAATAAAAGACTGGGTGAAACCAGGCTTAATAGCAGTGACTGTGAGAGGGATCTTGGAGTCTTAGTGGAGTTTCTGGTGAATTGCGTGATTCTGATTATTTGGGAATTAATCCGCTCAGAGGCTAGTGGCTATGTTATCTGATTTTCTCAATGGCTCTCTCTCTGAAGCACTGAGTGGATTGTTTATCTAGCTTGCAACACTTTTACAAGGTGTGAAATGCTTTTGGCTGAATGCCCAGAAGTTTGATTAAGCCTATTAAGAGTTTTCCCTTTCTGAGGTTATTGGGGGCTCTCCAAGCCCCACAGAGTCTTAGCTAGGGGGGGGTCTCCTGAGCCCCTGCAAGCCCCCAGCAGCCCACCCCTGGTCTTGCTGGCTGGGAATTCAGAAAGACATGGTCTCTCTGTATCTGAGGGAGAGGTGGCGGTATCTTAATCTAAAGAACTCCCAGATATGTAGATATCCTCCACTGTTTCCAGTCACAAGGAAATTCAATGGAAAATAAAAGTAGAAAAATGATATGAAGTCAGATTGGCTTCATCTGCTTATGTATCACCATTAGGTTTGCATTAGGTCCAAAGTAGTTCTTTCAATCATTGTCAAAGCCTGCATGGCCCTAATAATAGATATTAGTGGACGTTGCAATGCAAGCTTAAAACTGGGGGTGAATTATAGACAAACCCATTTGTAGAACAAGGAAACTATAGTTCTAAGAGACTATGCACTTAAGACAAGATATTGGGAAGGCAGGGAGGGAGGGAGGGCCTTACCATCTCCCAGAGTCGATGCCGGTTCAATGAAATCACCACCATGGTAGGCCTCACCATGTAGCCACCTTTGTTGAAGGACAGATCCCTGTTTTCCCATGTCACATTGAGTAAATGCCTACGGAGAATAAGGAAAGTAATCGATCTTATGTTTTGGTATAACATTTTCATTTTTTTGAAAGCCAATACTCCCAAGATTGGCCTTGCATCCTTGGTTTATCTTGTACAAGTAAGACGGCAAATGGGCAACTTTATACCAAGGCCTTGCTGCCAGCTAACATCTCTAAGAAGTCTCCAATGTCAAATGCAAAATGGGAGAAAGCATTTTTAATGTCATATTTTGGAAGTCTGACTATGAAGAAATTATTTATTAGTTAAAACTGTATGCTGATCTTTTCATTTCCAAGGCAGCACACAGGAAGGGAGCTGCTCCACTTTTAGCCTCACAGGCCTTCCAAGTGGATTGGGCTGGAAAAGCCACTCAACAATTACCACCAGCAAGTGAGAATGTCAAACCAGTAGCATCCACTGTCCGGGCACCAGTTCTCAGTGGCACTGCCATCCATTTGTTGCCTCGTGTAAAAGGAGGCACAATCCCCATGTGGGCTGTGATTGGTGGCACTGCCCAGGACCACCAGCAAATATTGATCTGCTTATTCAGTAGGCTTCTCCCAAACTTTGTAATTGCTACAGATGACATTGTCTTTTTGTGGTCTACATTTTAAGCATATTTAAGAAAGACTTGTTTTTAATGCATTCAGTTCAGCTCTTTAGATCAGGGCTCTTCAAACTTGACAGTTTTAAGACTTGTGGACTTCAACTCCCAGAATTCCTCCTCCAGTCATGTTAGGCTCAGGAATGTTGCCAAGTTTAAAGACCTTTCTTCTAGAGGAAGAACCAATTTAAAAATGAAGATAAAATTAAAATAAAATAGGCTCAAAGTGCTGCGATTATATTCTTAGTTCAGTTTTTTTTTTTTTTTTAAACAAAGGAGCATCAGTGTGTATAGCAGAAAATGGAAAGCTGGCTGCTCATTCTTACTGTCACCATTTCTTGGAGATAAAGTTTCCTGGTGCGATTGGTCTCAGATAGAGAGGAGGGTTGGGTGAGAAGGCAGTGACAACAGCTTGGTTTGACCTCTCCACATGCTTTATCCTAGTGTTCCACTCTTCCTTCACTCCCTTGGTGGTATAGGTAGTCCTCGACTTAAGACCACATTTAAGCCCAAAATTCCTGTTGCTAAGCGGAACATTTTGAAGTGAATTTTGCCCCATTATAAGAGCTTTCTTGCCACAGTTGTTACGGGAATGAGTGCAATTAGTCACTGTTGTGGTCCGTCAGCTGCCAGCAAAGCTAGCAACAGAGTCAGGTGAGGAGGAGGTGGAGGTGGAGGGGAAGACTGGGCCAGCTTCAGAGTCTTTGGAAGGCTCTGATAAGGAAGCAACATCAGAGACAGAGGCAGAGCCGGGGCCTTCCGTCCTGCCCCAAGTGGAGAGAGGCAGCTGTCTTCGGGGCCTGAGCTGAGTGAGAGGGAGGAACAAATAGGGCCCGTCCCAGATGCACGTATGCGTAGAGAAGAGAGGAGAGGAGAGCCATGGAAGGCAATAAGCTGGCTCTCAGGGAAAAGGAGACATAGGCTCTAGCCAGCCCCTCCCTGGCTGGGAAATAAATAGTAGGGGTTTGAGAATGGCCTGTTGTCACAGGCAACCATTCATTTTCCAGTGTACATCAATCAAGTTGGATTCCTTTACAAGGTTTGTCGGGACTAATTGCTCTGTATTTGAGGTGCCAACTGAGTCTCCCAGCTGGGAAATCATAGGTAGTGAATTTGCCATTGTGAACTTGGTTTCTGCTTTGGCTGAATCACTGAAGGACTTTTTTTCATTTTGAGTTCTCATGTGAACTGTTCGTGCCCTGTTTCAGAAGGGGAAAAATGCCTTCGCTTGTAACTACTTATTTTTGGTTTTGTCTATCCAACATGAATAAAGACTGTCCGTGCCCTGTTTTAAAAAAGGGGGGGCTTGTTTTACTCGTGAGTTAAGTGGTTTCTCATTGCTTGCAAAGGCTGGGTCAAAACACTCACACGGTTGTTAAGTGAATCTGGCTTCTCCCATTGATTTTGCTCGGCAGAAGATTGCAAAAGGGGATCATGCGAACCCAGGACACTGTAACCATCATAAATATGAGTCGGTTGCCAATTTTGATCAGGTGACCATGAGGATGCTTAAACAGTCATAAGTGTGAAAAATGGTCATAAGTCTCTTTTTTCAGTGCTATTGCAACTTCGTAGGAGCACTAAAAGAACTGTTGTATCTTGAGGACTACCTGTAATTATAATCCCTGTTATTTGAAAGGGAAAAGAGAGGAACCAGGATCCTCTTACAGCTCGGTGGTATGATGTCCAATGACTCTTAGCTCCTACAAAACCAAGTGCTCTGAATTTCAGAAATAAAAGACTTGGGTCACCCTTTGAGACTAATCATGGCGGATACACCCTTCATCAACCCACTTCACCGTGATTGAGAATGTCACTCGTTCCCAACGTCCAGAAACAATAGAATTTGAGGCATTCTTGAAAACTTTCTAAAATTAATAGTTATAAAGTTTGAACTCATTCAGAGACTGTCTATTTTAAATCAGAATTCAGGGATAAGAATGTGTTCTTAGGCTGTTAAGGATCAGGATAAGTGTGCACCGCGCATATAAGTTCTCTGATTGCTCCTAAAATCATTAAGCTTCTCTTGCTATGGCTGCACTTCTCTCCCACTGTCTTCTCTCTTCCATTGAATAAACACACCTTTTCACCATTTCAGAAATTCATGCAAATATCTGGCTATGAGAAATGCTGAGGAGAGGTGTGTGTTAATTTTTAAAGCTACAGTTATTAAACTATAGAAATCTAAGGATCCTTATTAGGATTACTGCTAAACTTGCCTCTCACCTAGCTGAAAAGGCCCACTATTTCACGATGAAATATTGTTGTCAATCAAATTCCGATTTCTAATACCCACTAGCATCGGTTTAAATCAATGTTACCTGTACTGACCTATAGAAAGTGTTCGTTGGTGTGCTGGAAGGGGTTTTGCTATTGCAGTCCCTGCCCACGATGGGGAGATAGCCATGGGCCTTGAAATAGCTCTCAGCTCCGATAGCAATGATAGCCACTCCATCCCGGACCTTTTGTCTCAGGTTCATTTTCCAGCTTTCAGTGGCCACACTGACGAGGCCAATAGGGAACGAGGTAGGTGGCACATCCATGTTCCCCACCGTTAGACTAGGCACAATCCAGACATAGCCAGGGCCGATCAAACCGGCCTGCTCGACCACCTGGAAGAGGAACTCTGCCTCATCTGGTGAACAATAGACGATCATGACTTGAGCATCTATCTGGCGCAGCAACTTCTGCAGTTTGGAGATGCTCATATCCTGGGACATCTCGAAAGTCAAGACATCCTGGATTTCCCAGCCAAAATAGCTGGTGTCTGTGAAGGACCGAATTACATCCAGGAAGATGCTATATCCTGGATAGAGGCTGGTGATAACAGCGAAGGAGCTCCAGTCGTATTCCTCCAAGACTTTGAAGATCACTTGTATCTGTTGTTCAATTGAGACACCCAACTGTAAAAAGGCAGAGCCAGGCTCCTAGGAAAAAGAGAGAGAGAATGAATGAAGAGGTTAAGCAAGATTTCAGCAAACAATGTATATTTCTTGATATCTTATCTAAGCCTCTCCCAGTTTGGTGCTGTATTTCAGTTTCCATATTTTTTTCAATCAGCTTGGCCTCTATGCAAGGGAATGTGACCTTTCTGAAAAGTTGGGAAAAGCCATCCCTATCTATATTATCTCAGAATAGTGGCCTTAATGAACATTTTTGTTCCTATTCCTAACATTTTCTAATTCAGTACTAGTATAGCATGTTGCAACTATGAAGTCAGAATTCATCCTGGTTTTCAGCCTTGTCACCTATTTACTTCATAACACTGGGCCATATCAGGATATCTGCTTTCATATGAGAGAGTCATTTCCAAGTAAAAGCAGAAAGCATTATCACTACAACAATCTCTAAATCTATTGTGAACTTAAATTACAGTAATCATTTTTTAACCAACACCTACTAGGTCTGCTTCAGCAACCCTGTATCAGGTATTCTGACTCATTGTGCCTTTTAAAATTCCTAATTCCCACTCTTTATGTGTCTTTTATGTGCATTTCACACTATTTCCCCCTAATATACGGTGGATGTAGACATAATACACATACACAGGAGACCCATGTAGAGAAAACAATAATTTTCCTGAACTCCAAACTACTGAATAAGCCACCGCACAGCAATGGAATATGCCATAGTCTTTAAAACAAAACATGAACCTTCACTTTTTCTTTCCAAAGTTAAGAATGTTCAGTGTAACATTTTGTACAAAGATCATTTATCACATTTTAATAGTTTTCTAAACAAACCGGCCAAGTTAGTGTATTAACCTTTATCCTTGATATATTGTTCTTTATAGTAAAACCTACAGTCTTAAAATACACATATACAGTGGTAATTAAGCCCTTTCTTAATATATGTGCATTGATATTTTTAATCATTTAGAAAAGGGGGGGGGGGGTATGCTTCTGTTGCTTGCAGAAATTCAAATGCAAGTTATATGTAACTTTTCAGAGCAACTTACTGTAATCTCCAAATAAACTGTGTTGTTTTTCTTTAAAAAAAGAGGAGAGATCTAAAACAATCCCAACAAAGTGGAATCATTAGAAAGCAAAGATTTAATATGAAATAAATTGGGAGAGAAGGTGGGAGACAAGCTGTCTCAGAAACTAAAACATCAAGCTCCTTTTTAAGTACAGTTATTGTACTTTTATGTATCCTAATATGACAGTATTTAAATTGGCTTTCACTTAAAGCGAGGCATTTTTGTGAGCTTGTTCTCTTTAAAGGACAAATTATTCCTTTTTGTCATGTTAAATTTCAATCTTTTCTTCATACTAGGATAGTGGGACCGCTTTATGCCTCCTAAATGTGGATTTGCTTACTGTTAAGAGTTGAGATGTGGAGTGCTGCATTTTATATGTGTTAATTAATGTTTTTAGACTCTGTTTGGACTTTTTGCTGACACCTGGATTGGAGAGAATGTTACTTATTGGATTTGGTTAAGAGATGAATTATGGGAAGAAGAACTTTGTATATGTTAATTAAGACGTGGTGAAGAGATTGGGAAATTCTTTAGACCTGTCAAGATGAGAGAGTGAAGTTGCTTTCTTAGAGTTTTTCTTTCTTTTTCTCTTTCTTCTTTGCTTTCTTGCATCTTTTTCTATTTCTTTTTCTTTGTATTATCTTTTACTATTGCAATTTAAAATTTTAATGTTTTATTTAAAAAAGGAACCTGAGACAGCAGAAGGAATAAATTGTTCTTGCAGAAGAAAAGGACATTTCTTCAGCATAGGAAAATGTCATTGTTCTGTAATTCCCAAATTAATTTAGCAATGAAGTTAATGAATATGAACAAAATGTATTGTTGCAATCAAATACAAGCCAGCTAAGACCTTGAAGAAGATTATTTCTTTAAAAATAAGCTCGCCAACAAAATTAAATCATTGGTTTAGAATAGCAGCCATTTTCCTTAGGGAAGACATATAGGTCAGCAGTATTGCATATGCTTTGCATGACAAAAGGACCAGATGCACTCCTTACCATCTCTACAGAGATGCGCTCATCAAAATCCCACATGTCTGCTGTCAAGCAGTGCAGATATTCTTGAGCTTCCTGGAGTCTTAATTAGACTTGACCTGAAGCGCCTCCATATAATCTTCAGCTCTCAGCATAATGCAGGTTCCATGCATAGGTAGATAGTGATAAATAGATATAGTACCTAAATGAGATCTACTTATGCATCTATCTAAATGGAATATCTAGGAGTCGTAGGGAACATTCAACTTGCCTATTTATGAAATATATACATTCTATTGAAATGTAAGCATAGACACCTAAATACAGTACATTTAGTTTGATTACTGAACCCATTTTCTGAGTTAATCAGGGGTTGCCACAAAGAAGAGGGAGTCAAGCTATTCTCCAAAATACCTGAGAGCAGGACAAGAAGAAATGGATGTAAACTAACCAAAGAGAGAAGCAACTTAGAACTAAGAAAAAAATTCCCGACAGTTAGAACAATTAATCAGTGGAACAACTTGCCTTCAGAAGTTGTGGTTGCTCCAACATTGGAAGTTTTTAAGAAGAGATTGGACAACCATTTGTCTGAAATGGCATAGGGTTTCCTGCCTAACCAGGGGGTTGGACTAGAAGACCTCCAAGATCCCTTCCAACTCTGTTATTCTGTTCTGTTCTATTCTATTCATAATACATTGGAGTAACCAACTTGGGGTTATCTGCATTAACCATTCACACATAGAGATGAATACATGAAACAGTTAAACATAGCAAAGATGTGTAACTGACGTAGTGGAACTTGTGTGAATACAACCAATTCATCACAACATTGGTGATGTTTAAACAAATGACATAATTATTATCACAATACTTGAATGAAATGATAATGGAAAAACATCTGAAATTGCATCCCCCCCAAAATTAACAAAACTTAATTACACAAACAGGCAGGCAGACAAAAGCAGCTAATTTTATAGAAATGTTGAATGGTATTACATCATACAATATATAAGAAATTCTAAGGATTCTTTTTTTGTAACAAGAGAAAACTACATTCCAGTTTAGCTGTGTGGATTGCATCAAACAAAGTCAAACTTAGTGTCAAGTTAAGCCTGAATTCTCCCTCTTTAAAATGTAATAGGTGCCCAATATTTTAAGGTCTAACTTGAATTTGATAGTCTTTTCTTTTGCTCATAACTTTATTAAACATTTCCTTATAAAAGATCCATGTAATTTAAACTTGCCACATGCATTTCCTCAATGTCACTTCTGTGGCCCTGAAAATATTCCCAGAGAAGTTGAGAGGTACTTTTCGGTGGCCATCTGAAGATTTTAAAGGAGAACTAGAGTTACTTATTTCATCTTCTTAAAACCCCAAAGCAGCAAAAAAACATTTTTCCAATTGGTTTACAGGACAAAAGAGTTTCATTCTTTCAAACTATAAATATTTACTCATCCCCAAAGGTTAACAGATAATCAGAGTTGGAAGGGATCTTGTAGGTCATCTAGTCCAACCCTCCGCCCAAGCGGGAGACCCTACACCATTTCTGACAAATGGCAGTCCAATGTCTTCTTGAAAGTCTCAAGTGATGGTGCTCCCACAACTTCCGAGGGCAAGCTGTTCCATTGGTTGATTGTGCTCACTGTCAGAAAGTTTCTCCTTATTTCCAGGTTAAATCTCTCCTTACTCAGTTTCCATCCATTATTCCTTGTCTGGCCTACAGGCGCTTTAGAAAATAGCTTGACCCCTTCCTCTCTGTGGCAGCCCCTCAAATATTGGAAGACCGCTATTTTCCCCCATTGACATCCTAATATCATTAACTATGATCCAAGTGATTCCTGGAAGCAAAGCATTCTTTTAAATAAGCTGAATCATAAATACATCTATCTTTTTCTAGTTGATGAAGTAAAAGGAAGTTGTGAGGAAACAGGAATGGATTTTTAATTGAAAGACAAATAGCCCATCTCTGGCACATCCTGGGATTAAATGTATGCTCAGGATACCATTTAGTCTTTCTTAATTTCAAGTGACTTAAATCTCTGCAAGACTTAAATCAAACATTTTCATTTTTAAACATGTATCAATAAGCTAGTATGCAAACACTTGCTGTATATCAATTATCCAGCAAATATCTCAAAGTAAATCCCACAAGCCTGAATTCTACCTACTCAAACGCATCGCTTGGATTATATTGCTAGCATGCCTGGAGAAAAATATGATCATTTGCAATGCACTTTTCTTAGAAGAGAAAAAAATGGACCACTTTCCTCCAAGATTGGGGAGAAAAAAAAATCTTCCCAACTCCGGTCCTATATATACTATATTGCCATAGTGGGTAATCTTTGTGATGACTTATTCTTTCTTTTCCCAGAATAATTAACCACAGAAATATATTCATGATTATGTGCCGTAATACAGCACACGTTCCTTAACCCAATTCAGAAACCATCAACAACAGGTGGCATCTTTCTACAAAACATTTTTGTAAGGTGGGACATGAGGAGAAAGAACATCAAGAAGGAACTTTTGTAACTATCTCTAAAACAACGATCCACTGAGATAACGAGCTGCTAAGAAACTGGTGACTTTCTGTAGTGTTGATTAATTCAGCCTGACCAATACTCATGCTGGCTAGTTACTTATAGTTAGTCAGATACTGAACCAAAGCCAACTGTATCTGGAAGATAACAAATTAAATGAGGTTGTTATGTTCTCTGCTTCCATGCGTCAAGCTTGCTCTTTAAAATAGTGGATAATATACCTAATATTTCTGCCACTGACTGCCACAAGCACATCATCTCCAGCCAAGATGAGCTGCTATGGATAAATTGCTTCCAGGTAGAAATTTTCTTTCAATAACCTAAAGCATTTTTTGACTGGAGAGCAACAGCTTGTCATTAGTCACCTTTGCACAGTCCTATATATTACTTTATGGGCCACTTTCTGATACGGGAATGATTATTAACAGGGATCTGGCCAAGCCAGAAGAACAGGCTGAAGAATATTCTCATTATTTTTAATCAAGTCTGAATGGACTTTACTGCCTATAGATAACACAATGATCCAGGATCAGTCTTAGACAAATAAAACCACATTGTGTTGGCTGCTAACAAGGCACAGAAACATACCCTATTTTCCTGTGAGAAGTTGACAGTAACCACCATTGACACTTGTGACAGGTGAGCAAGCTAAAAATAATTACCCAAGTGCACAGCCCATCTGTAAAAAAAAATTCAGTGTGTTCTACAGTAGTCTCTGCAATGTAGTTGCATGTGCCCTAAATTAGTGATTTAAGACACAGGTACTGCTTTTCTAGAATGAAACATGGGACAGGATTATGTGCTTGCCAACAAAAGCTGCATCCCAATTGTATAGGTTTATTGATCTAGAAATCAATAAACAGATGTTACACATTGACAAGACTTTGACTATACTTTCCTCCATTCCTGAAAATTAACATATTCAGTTTTATGCCTGTTTCAACAATATAAGCGGTTATCAAAAGGCTTGCCATAATTGTGCAAGATTTATTAATTTCTATTTTCTTGCTATGATAGTTTTAGCAGCATTTAATGAACATTGGTTGACCTGCCTGACAAAAATATTAGTATATATTGTAAGAATTCTGAATAATCTGGTGGTGTGATGGTCAAAATACTGGGCCTTCTTCCTTAGTTTCCATAATTCTACATTATAGTTTGTCTCCATAAAGGAATAGACTTACAAACTTATCTGTCAAAAATAAGGGTCTTCAAACTTGGCAAGTTTAAGACTTGCGGACTTCAATTCCCAGAATTCCTGAGCTAACATGACTGGAGGAGGAATTCTGGGAGTTGAAGTCCACAAGTCTTAAAGCTGTCAAGTTTGAAGACCCCTGCTCAAGATAGCCTTAAAACCTTAATAATTCATAACTCATAACATTACCAACTTGACAAATTCCATAAAAAGAATACAACTTTCTCCATAAAAAAAATAGCCTTACAATAAAAGAAAGGGAGGGAGGGAGGGAGGGAAGGAAGGGAGGGAGGAAGGGAGGAAGAAAGGAAGGAAGAAAGGAAGGAAGGAAAACACAAAGAAGGCTATGGCTTGGCTTAGCTTACATATGGAGTGAAATGGTATTTATAGGATATATTTCACCTTTTTATTCTGAGAATAAAAAGTTACATTTTAAATAGCGTATATAAACTATTCATAATACAGATTATGTTTAGATTTCCCATATCACCTCACCCCTACAAAGACATGCACAGATAAATAATCAATCCACTTTCACTATCGCAACTGCAACTCCCCCAAACCCAAACTATTTAGATAGATTGCTGGATGTGAGGTCTGGGGTGGGGGTGGGGGAGCAGCTGTGAGGTGGGGTGGGATTCATTTATCAAAGATGACTTCAAGTTAGGAATCATTCAGCTACTTGCTGAATTAATGTTACTATAGATACTTAGTAAATCCCAAACAACTGTGTTGGACTATAGCAATCCTGTCTGATATGATACACAACAACAAATGCAATTGAACTGTTATCTAAGGGTTGCTCATCCAAGGGCTAGATTACTTGTGCTTAATGATTCATTGATCAACTTCATGGTTGAAGGACTTCTATCATAATGCCGTTTAATTGGTTTGTTATTTTCTATACAATTTTCTTCAACAACCTTACTTCAAAAAAAAAACAACTAAGTATATGGAGCCATTCTGCCATTAATATTATTACCAACACTTCTAGATATTATAAAAAAGAAGAAAAGAAACATTCTTCTTCTTATAGAAATGCCAAAATCAGAGGCCAAGGTGTTCCTACATCTATTTGAAAAATTCTCAACGGGAAGTATAAATCTGTTGCAGTGATGACTTCCCATTTCAGCCTTTCAGTCAATGTGGTGTTCATCTGGACTTATTGGACAGTAGCTCACAGCCGGCAAGGTGAAGGGGATTTCTAATCCCACAAATCTGGAGGCATCCAGTTGGAAGAGACTGTTGTTTAACCACTCAGAAATATACCTCCTTAATTCACATCAGAGCCTCCACATTTCTCCTTACTGATCTTTGCAAACTGTCCTTCAGGTAAAATTCCAAGGTCTTGCTCTTTTCATCCTGGTAGAGAAGATGGGAGATTTTTCCCCACCAATTCCTTTCCATTTGAAATTCTTATTCATTTCACTGTGGTTATAGGCACAAGTGCTAGTTCATTAAAAAAAAAAGTTGGCATTCTTAAAAGAGACCGTCTGAATGAGAAGATGAACTGCTAGAAATGGGTTCTAAATAATTGAACAGAAAGCATAACAACATGATCATGGATTTGTCATCAGTGGGTAAATGTATAATATACTGTATGCAGCACCACCAAGGCAGCCAGCATTCAAGAGAGCATTCCCAAAATAACATCCTTTTTGGTCTCCTTGCTCTAAGGTTGCTAGCATGGCTTGCAGAGGTGACTTCCTGGCCAAATCTACTTAAATTCTTGCATGATATGTGCCTGGAGCTTGCACGGCTGTCTTCTCTGGTCTTTGTTTAATCTTTTGTTGTCAGCTTCCCTTGTCAACCTTTGTCTTCCTGCCCAGCTAACTAGTGAATCTCCCAATTTGCACTGGTGCTTGCAGGTGTTAATTGTACAGTGTGACCCAAGTTTAGATTAAACAAAATTCAGTATTGTTTTTAAAAAGCCAGATTCTTTGCTGTTGGTCATTTACTGCAACAGAATTATACCACTGTTTAAAAATTAAGAAAATTTATATCCTGAATGGTCTTGTAGAAAACCGTGACAATAGATAAATAAATGAATACATATGAGGTATAGTATCTGAGAATAATCTACAGGCCCATTCCAGCTCAATTTCCCAGAAGAACAATGAAATTTCACCTTAGGTGTAAGGACTACGGCAGATCCTCCACTGATACTAACGATAGGTACATAGGTCTGGGATGAGATGAAATCAAGGATCTGTGCCACAGCTTCTGTACCAACGTTGTCCTCAAAGACAATTCCATGGATTTTTGTGCTGGAGAGCATGTCACAAATTTGAGTCAAGAGTGTGCTGGGATTAGTGTCATTGACCACCATGGTGACTGGTTGGACCTCTAGAGGCATGTCCAGGAAGGTCTGGTATGTTAGTCGGCTCTGGATATGGAGGGAGTATGAAGAGCTGCTGAAAACCACAGCCACGTTTACCACAGGTTCCCTGGAGTTTGACACGGAAGTATCCATTAGGGCAGCTGAACAGCCCAGCACCATAGACAGCACCAGGGTGTTTGCCAATGTTCTGTCCATGGCCATTAAGGAGCCCCTGAAAGTCAGAACAAAGATAAATTATGGAAAGCATCCAAGGAAGAAATGAGTGGAAAGTACAGAAGATGTGTTTTACCAGTTGGTAAAACTTGGGGAGCTATTTACACAATGGATTTTGAGAAACCTGACTATGCCACTTAGCATACATGACCCAGAGGGTCAACCACAGTTCTAAGATAAGCACATTTATTTATTTATATCCTGCTTTTATTATTACATACCAATATTCCTTCCTCCTCCTATTTTTCCCACAACAACCACCCTGTGAGGTAGATTGGGCTGACAGAGTGACTGGTGGAGAGTAATCCAGCTGGCTTTCATGCCGAAGACAAGACTTGTTGAGAAGCACCCAGGCTGACAGGGAGTAGGGATCAAGCACAGAGTTAGCCTGGAGTCATTGCATAACCACAAAAGTAGCTAGCTTAAACTCTGCACGTGTGGGTTTGATAGGACTAAGACTCATGATCTCCCAGTTTCCAGTCTGATGTCTTATACACCAGTTCAAAGTGTAACCTATGATTTTCCAATATTGAATAATTTCTTGTAGTTGGTCACTTACAATTTTATCTGTAGACTTAAGGGGAAGTCTTAAATAGGCATCTAAGAATATGTAATGGGTGAAGCAGTTCTGAGTTATAGAAAAATAAACTCTATCAAATACTACTAAGCAATAATGGTATGGGAGGATTGCTTGCTTCTGAGATTGATACCCCATCATGTCTCCATTCTCAAGGGATCTTCTACGCGGGGATGTCTCCTCATTTTATCCTACAATAACAATTCTGTAAGGTAGTCCGTTGGAGCGGGAGAGTGCCTGGTCTAAATTTACACAGAGCGTTTTCATGGATGAAGTGAACCTTGGTTCCCGATCCTAGCCCAACATTTGAACTATCTAGCATTTCAACCCTACTAACTCCCATTCTCTCATAATCCAATACCTCTTTGCCTCATCCATCCCTGCTCTATAATTAAGCCTGTCATCTGCTCATCAAGTTTCCCTCCCATTTCTATTTTCCTTATTAGAAAGATGAATGAATCTTTCATTCATCCTTAAGGCTTTTCCTTTGTTTTATCATTTGAACAATTGCAATGTGTTCCACATGAAAATGCCCTTGAAGAGTATCCAGAAGCTTCTGCTGGTACAGAATGCTGCAGCATGGGCAATTATGTGCACTCTTAGAACAGCACTCCACGAGCAGTATTGGTTACCAGTTTGCTTTCATGTCTAATTTAAATGTTTTGACCTGTAAGGCATGGGAACAGGATATCAGAGAGACTGCCTCTCCCCAGTAATATAAGCCCACCCCAAGAGATTTGACAGAAAAGGCATGCTATGGGTACCATCGGCTAGGAACCTTCGTTTGGTGGATCTCAGGAGACATGCCTCTGCAATGGCATCCGCTTTATGGATCATTCTTCCCCCCAAAATTAGGTTAGGTCCATCTCTTTTGACATTCCAAGACCCTCAAGACCTGGTTATGTTCTGGCTCCATTGCTGGGCTGGGTTTTCTTATCCTCTCTTCCCTGGGATTTGTATCGCTGTTTTTTATACTACTTATTTTTAAATGATGTTTTTATTGTTATATCTGTTGGTTTTATATACAGTTTTATTTGTTTTTGTTTTTTACACTACCCAGAATCACCTTTGGTGAGATGGGTGGCTATATAGAGTTTATTAATAAATAAAATAAGTGTGGAGGACTCTTGATATTCTGTATTCCATCATTCTGTTTTACAGCCACCTTTTATATAACATATTACATCTATTGCCCCCTTAATTCTCTCTCCCTCTTCATATTTTACTGCATCAAATATTTGCTTTTTGTATTCTGAGAATCATTTTTGAAGAAGCTATCACTTTCTCACTCTACGTTGAACTTCAGATCCAGTTCTAGTTTGTGATTTATTTATTTTTATCTTATTTTATTGCTGGAAAGTGTCAAGAGATGTAATTTTGGAGTCCTTGGTGCCCTCTGAGTTTCGTGACAGACATTTTATTACCAAATTAGATAACATTATCAGTGCCAGCACTGATGAGGTTACCTAATTTGGTAATCAAACATCTGTAAGAGAACCACCAAGATCAAAGAGCACCGAGGACCCTCAGTTCAATCCTGAGCTAACATATGTTTTCCTTAAGATGTTAATTCTTGTTCCTGGCATTTTCTGTTATGCCTCTCTTGAACAGCCCACTTTGCAAGCCGGAAAAACCCCATGAGAGGAAGTCTGTTCTGTGGTGAAGTGCAAAGAAGGCAAACTATATAGTCTGTCAGACACAGAATCAGAATCGCTAAAGATACAAATACCGTACTTTAATGTATTATTAAGTGCCACATTCCCACATCCTCCCAGAAGAATAACATAAAATTCTATTATTTTACTTCATAAACATCTTTTCTTGGGGGGAAAATAATCTATCAAGTCCAATGAGCAAGGGGGGAAATGCAGAATAAATGCTTGGCACAACATTTATTTATTTATTTATTTTTATTTGTTTGATTTGCCAATTGTTTACAAGATAATAAGTATAAGTGTATACATAGTTGTGAATACATGAAATGGGTACATATAAGAAAAATAAAACAAGAATAAGAGAAACAATAGGACAGGGACGGTAGGCACGTCGGTGCGCTTATGCACGCCCCCTACAGACCTCTTAGGAAAGGGGTGAGGTCAATAGTAGACAGTCTAAGGTTAAAGTTTTTGGGGTTTGGGGAGGAAACTACAGAGTCGGGTAGAGTATTCCAGACATTGACCACTCTATTGCTGAAGTCGTATTTCCTGCAATCAAGTATGGTGCGGTTAACTTTGAGTTTGTATCTATTGTGTGCTCTTGTGTTGTTATGGTTGAAGCTGAAGTATTCATTGACAGGTAGGACATTGCAATGTATGATTTTATATACCATGCTTAAATCAGACCGAAGACGGCGTAATTCAAGGTTTTCTAGTTCTAGAATTTCAAGTCTGGTGGCATAAGGTATTCTACAATGAGTAGAGGAGTGGAGAACTCTTCTTGTGAAATATTTCTGGACATTCTTTTCCATTGACCTGAAGCTTTCTTGAGAAGCTCAGTTGTGAGGCTGGTGTCCGTCATGGGTAAAACTGTTGCACCTCTCTATCTCTCCCCATCCCTCCTGAATTTCTTTCTCCCTGCCTGCCCTTTTTTCTGGCTAGATTAGACCTGATACCATTTTTCTAAGCTGATAAAATTGGGGGGTGGGGTGCCAAGTGTGTCTGCTGGGGGTGCTGTTTCTATATTGTTCTGAGGCCCATTTATAAAAGAGGAACTTTCGGTCTCCCGCCGCCCCAAATTGTTGAATCTAGCTAGCTGTAGTTTCTTTCTGAATAAAAACCTCACATTGTTATTCAGATGACCTGTGAAATGATCCCCACTGAGCAACACATGAACAGCTTTTCTTTTCAAAAACTAAACTGTGCATATTTATATGGTTAAACAGAGAATGGCTTATAATGGAAGGCTTCTCTGACGATAATCTTTTACTCACTTCATTATTCCCCCCCATTAAAAAGAGCAAAAATTAGGCTGACTAATCTGCTCCCTTTCACCATTTAGGCTGCTTCACAAGCCTATTCTCTCTCTCTTCTCCTCTGAGACAAGCACATAGACACACACACACACACACACACACACACACACAAAGATATAGCAGCACAACTCCAGCAACTCAACAATGGGGAAAGAAAGGAGTCACAGAACTCTAGCTACAACTATGACACCAAGGAAAAAAAAAATCAAAACCTGTTGTAGTGAACATTTGTATTTATTTTCCAAAATGTGTTTTATTCAATTACTTTCAATTGCAAGTTTGTGCAACTAAATACCAAAAGCTTAGCTTTCTCCCCATTTTTTCCTAAATTTTAATCTTTTCCCTTCTCAAGTTCCCTCTAGTGCCACTCAGTGGCCAATCTTGATGCTTCCTCCTCATTGTACAATTTCCTATAGATCCACGATCCCTTTGAACCAATGCATCCAGCCTTAGTTTATATTTTATTTCTTTGTATTGTGCCCAAAAACTATTATGCTGTTCATTTTTATTCCCTATTCTTATCCTGGCTACTATGATGCTTCTACAGCTATGAAGCCTTTTTCTCTCTCCCTCACCTCAAGCAGTGCAAAGTACTTGAGGATAAATTGGCTAATGCTTTGTACGGTGAACAAAGTGTACATATTTAAGGTAAAAGACAATAATTCCTTATTCATCTCAATGATAACACCTCTGAAAGGAAGCATTTTCACCAGGTAAATACACAAGGCCTCTTTCTGTGTAGATGGGAAGAGTAACCTCTTTCTGTGTAGATGGGAAGAGTAGTGCATTTTAGTTCATATCAGTGGGAACATTCATATCCATTTGCTGAATTATGTTTTTCTTTTAGCAGAGATACAAATGTAAAAGCCCAGTGTATGAGAACAATGGTCTAGAGCACTGTTTCTCAATCTTGGCAACTTTTAAGATGTGTGGACTTCAATGTCCAGCATTTGAGAGGCCGACACAAAGAAGAGGGGGGTTAACTTATTGTCCAAAGCACCAGAAGGCAAGAAACAATGGATGGAAACCAATCAAGGAGAGAAGCAACCCAGAACTGAGGAGAAACTTTCTAACAGTGAGAACAATTAGCCAGTGGAACAGTTTGTCTCCAGAAGTTATAGATGCTTCATAACTGGAGGTTTTTAAGAAGAAACTGGACAGGCACTTGTCTGAAATGGTATAGGATCTCCTGCTTGAGCAGGAGGCTGGACTAGATGACCTCTAAGGTCCCTTCCGGCTCTGTTCTGAGTCTGAACTCCTAGAATTCCCCATCCAACGTACTGGAATTCTGGAATGAATTCCACACATTTTAATGTTGCCAAGTTTGAGAACTTTGTTCTAGAGGATCTGGGATTATGTCCTGAGGACTGATAATTAAACTGAAACTGCAATATCGACAAAATGTCCATGCTTCCCTCCACATGGTAGCAGTTTCACATTATTATCTGATGAATTCATTAATCATAAGTAATGGTTTTAAATGAATTTACATTTTATTTATTTAAATTTAATTATTTATTTCAAGTACTGATATGGTTCCCAACTGTTGATGTAATTTCCCCGTTAGGAGAATGAGCGCATACAGGGAGACGTAGCGAGAGAAGTGAAGAATAACACACACACAGCACACAGATACACTGTACAGTAAATGTAGGTTTTTACTTCCAATAAACATTTAAGCAAAGTCCAAACAAGCAGTCCAAGTCATTCACAGGTAAAGCAGTCAGTTTTTCAGTTCAGGGATAATCCAAATATCAAAGTCCAGTATAAAAAACAGTTCAGTAACAGACTTACATCAACGATCAGTAACAGTCATTAGGAGGAGACAACACTCTCCAACAGAAGGAACAGATACTCACACTGAGACCTAACAACCCAGGTTTCTCGCTCCATCTTATTGCCATTTGCGGAACCACACCCAATTACAGTTTTAGCATTCTCTTAAAGACATAGTATTAAAATGTCTATCCTAGTTTATATATTTCCAACCCAAATAACTCTTAGGTGACTTACATTTCTAACACCAACCAACATCATGTGGCTCAGCGTTGTACAATGGAAATAAACAACAAGATATTTAATTCAATAAAATAAATTAAAATTATATTTCCTCTTTAAGGGAAGAAACCCTATGCCGAATAACCTTTCCTCCTTTACATTTATTTCCCTCCCTATATGCCTGTTCAAAAAAGAAAGAAAAAGAATAAATAGAAGCAGAAATATTTAATATTTTTATGACCATTCTCTGTCTCTGTCTCCCTCCCTCCTTCCCTCCCCCTCCCTCCCTCCCTCTCACATATGTCACTAAGTGTTGGGATTAAGGGGTGTCAACATTTATTGATTTATTTAAGAAAATTTATATGGCCACCCAACACACACTCAGTGACTCCAGGCAGCTTACAAGGAT